AAATCTTGCTTATGAACATCGTAATTTTTTTTTACAATGAATCTTGTATGTGAACTTTGGTTAAACGAACATCTTTTAAATAAACGTCACAATTTAAAAAAAAAACACATTTTATATATTAACATTGGTTGCCTGAAAATCGTGTTTATGAATACAGTAATTAAAAAAAATTTAATGTGAACGTTGGTTCAACGAACATTTTTTATATCAGCATTGTATTTTTTTTTTTTTTTTTTAATATCTTGTATGTGTTCATTGGTTATACGAAAATCTTGTATATGAACATCGTAGTTAAAAACACAAAATCTTTTCTGTGAACATTGGTCATATTTGCATCTTTTGAAAGAAAATTACAATTAAAAACAAGTCTCTTACTTGAACATCTGTTATATATTATCGTCTTTTAAATGAACATCATAATTTAATAAATCTTTTCTTTAAACATATTTTCGTTACATGCAGCAAATTTATCTGGACATGATCAGAGAGCACGTGGTGTGGATGGAAGCCGGAGAGCCGGGACAAATGGCCATGTGGGCCAAGTATGAGAATGATTCCAGAATATGGGAAAGTTTATTTGGTAAGTAAACATTCTGTCTGTTCCTGTACTCTTAGTGATGGTTGGTGAGCAGTCATTGATGCTGCGGCTCTTTGCTGTAGGCATAATATCTAGGATTCGACTGGGCTTTGACTGCTGCTATATTATGCATGTACTCAGTAGTCTTAGCATCAGCAGCAGAATATTAGTAGTAGCAGCAGCAGTAGTAGTAGCAGCAGCAGGAGTAGTAATAATAGTTGTAGCAGCAACAGTAGTAGTAATAGGAGCAGCAACAGCAGCAGTAGTAGTAGGTAGCAGTAGAAGTAGTAGTAACAGCAGCAGTAGTAGTAGTAGCAGCAGCAGAAGCAGTAGGAGGAGGAGCTGCAGCAGCAGCAGATAAAGGATGGACAATAGAAATATATGTCACAGTGGGTACATTTTAAAGAGGGGATAGAAGAAGAAGAGAAGATATACAAATAGAGAGAGAGACAGACGAGAAGAAATAATAGTTAAAGGATGTATAAGAGGACAATAGGTTCTCCTGTGTGGAGAGTGTAGTAATAAGTCTACACCCCAAACGATCAGGTAATAGTCAGTACAGGTCTTATGAAGGAGAGAGTAGTATAGGTATAGTGGTGGTATAAAGACTACAGCAACTAACAATAATAGTGCCACTCTTGTACTCAACAAACTAACGATTCAATAAAAGAATAACAACTACTCATCATGTTTATTAGGAAACAGAATTACAAAGCCGTATTACACAACCAACAGATGTTATATTATGTCGTAAACAGAACGTCCTCACACTATAAAACTCAGCAACTGACAGCAGAATCTACTCTACTCAACGATAACTAGCAAGTGACTAATAGAATCTCCTTCATTGCTCTACAAATAATAAGCCACATAACGCCTACAATCTAGCCATCTGCTCTATTTCCAAATACCGTCTACCATCTAACCATACTGCTGATTGCAGTCCAAAGACCAGCAAACCTATAGCCAATACCGACTACCATCTAGCCATACTGCTGATTGCAGACTAGACACCATCTACCTATAGCCAACCCCGCACACCATGACAGAAACTGCCATGTCACATAACATGAAGCAATATTTCGTGCATTATCTGGCAAGTCACACAACAGAAGCATGGACTCAGCTCCATCGTATCGACATCATCGGAATTCCCACAGCATCCTTCGTTGGCAAAGATCTCAGCGCAAGTGTCTCCCCAGCTACTTGCTGGTAGTGTATATACCCCTGACGCTACTTGGTTCTACCTCTCTCCTTTGTACCTGATTTCATTGTCCTTTCTCTTTCCCGCCAAAGATGGTTTTCCAAGCCACTTTGTATAATTGGATGGAAAAGCTCCAGGAAATCTTGTGTCGTTGTCTTTGTTCGTTGTCTTGTCTCTGTTAATTTATGAGTATATTGGCCTACAATAGTTCCTGCTTGGCCCCGCACCTACGCCTAAAGTCAATGCCCTCAGGGTTGCTATACTATGTAGCGACCTTCTTTATCTCAAGCGACTTTATACCTCTTTATTCCTCCATGTGTTTCTTTCATTCTATTTCCTTCTTGTAATGAACGTGACTGTAATCAGTACTGTCACATATAGAAGAGTCGGAAAAGTTGAATGTTGAATTGACAATCAACATCATAGCACTCGGGACACTCCCATAAGCCTCCGCACTGTTCACTCGCTCCCAAAGGGCCCTTACAACATCTAGTTTGTCTTACAATCAGTTCATCATCAAGTGGTGCGGAGCAGACCAGTCTATCTGCCTGCTTATTCCCCAACTCACCGACATTACCTGGAGAAAATATCCAAAGGACGGAAAAGTTATATCTGCGAAGCCAACAAAAGAGCCCGTTTCAGAGATAAATTTCTTACTGCCCTGACGCTGCGAGGCATTTCATGAGTAGAGAAAAGACGAAGAAGAAGAAGTAACAACAGCAGCAGTAGAAGTAGTAGTAAAAGTAATAGTAGCAATAGTAGCAGTAGTGCGATTATTGTTAGCAGCAGTAGTGGTGATGTTGAAACTCAAACAAACAAAGATCACGTCTAACACAGTTTACTTCTTGCCGCTTCGCTTCAACTCAGAAAATACCACAACAGAGAACGAAATATGGGACAGTTTTGTCCGCAACGACTATGACCTCCTCTCCAGCTACCGTCTGGGGCCAGCTGCTGCCACCTATCTGGAGGACTACCAGGGTCAGACTTACGACCACAACTATGTCATTGCTAAAGCGGCCATTTCCTGTAAGCCCAAACCAGGTAAGAATATGCGTGAGGTTAAATCTGGTAACCAGGTAAGAATATACGTGAGGTTAAGTATGGTAACAAGGTAATCGCATTTGCAAATTCTGTTCTTGTTACGTTTTCCCTCCCCAGACAAAATAGGCCTGGCACTATATGTTTGATGCACTCATGCACTAAAGCGTTTTTTAAACTTTCTTTTTCTACTTCTTCTTTTTCGCCTTTCTTTTGTTACCCCTTCTGGCTTCGAGGCCGGTAATAAGGTTCTGCTTCTTGCATTGTTGACCACCTTGACCATAGACATATCGCGCATGTGAAGAGTTTTTCTGATGTTATCTTTCCATCTTGTTCTTCATTTACCTTGTCCTCTACGTCCTTCTCATCTTTTGATGTATGCTTTGTATGGTATGGCGTAACAAAACATTATCTCACACTTTTGATTGGCTATCTTTGTATGTAATTAAGAATTGGTTCTCTGTGAACTTTTTCTCTTATGACCTCATTCCTTACTTTGCCTCTTCTCGTCAGCCTTGCATCCCTACTGAGACATCTCATCTCACTGGTTACTAATAAAAACAAATTGTTAGGAACTTTACATACTGGAAGTATTGCCGTGGCTATCACACTGATCTTCCATCCCTATAGTCGCTGGTCTAGATTTGTATAGTTGAGGATTTTTGCAAACTGATTCCGGCCCACAAGTTGACCTAGACTACAGATGGTTCAAGTAACCATTCTTGGTAACAGAGGTTCCTCGCCGAGTGTATCTCGGAATGAAGAAGCGCGCTTGTAACACCTAAACCATAGTCGCCGACTTTGTAACAAATCACTGGGATGTAAAATGACAGGTCTATATATATTCGACATAATGAGATAATCTGTTCCTGTCATCGCTGTCTTTCAACAACCCACCCCCACTCCCCCCCCCCCCCCCCACCCACTCCCTCCCCCCTCCTCCCATTTATGAAGAGCAATAAACAACATCTTTATCTTTCTCGACATCTGAAGCAGTAAAAGAGAAAATTAAAACGAAGAAGGAGAAGAAGAAGATAACTTATAGTAACAGGGAATAACATGGTTCGGTCAAGTATTGACAAATAAACGTGTCAAACTATCCTTAGATAGAAGCAGTTGTAGAAAAACATGTCAGAGCTGGCAGAAGACAAACTGCATGTAGCTAACTGAAAACATTAATTCACTGCGTAGTGAACCTCCGTTTGCCCTGATAAAACAGGCAGTTACTTCTCGATATAAATGACCCTGGCTCATATGTTGATTCTGTCTTAGACGGATACCAGATGAAGTTCTGGAAAGTAAAGGCGACCTACGTGATGTTGACCACATCTCAGATGGAGTGCCGACTTATCCATAAAAGTAAAGGTCTAGCACTATATGCAAAATACCTTTAAGGGCGTGGAAAAGGGTCCCTTGACTTTTGAATATACATAATTTTATTTGTCAGAAGGATTCATATGAATTAGTCTAGTATGTACCTGACGAGGAACAGCGATACGTATCAGGCAATACATTGTGCAAATTGTTTTCTTAGTTCAAAATCACAAAACAAAACATCACTTGTATTACTTTTGTGTAATTTGTAGGTCCATTCATGCCATGCGATGACCTATTCGGCTGGTGGTCACTCAGATGTGGCGTCTGGTTTGTCTTCATGCTGGCCGTCCTAGGCAACGGTGTGGTCTTCTTCGTTTCGGTCACCAGCAAGTCCAAGATGGACGTCCCAAGATTCCTCATCTGTAACTTGGCACTGGCGGATTTCTTCATGGGAATCTATCTGGGCATCTTGGCTATAATTGATGCTTCAACGCTGGGTAAAGGGCAGTGTCTTGTTGTGTGATTGCTTTACGTTGTAACACTCAAGGTTGTTTGTGTCTCTCGTTTGTTAATTTTTCTGGAATTTTTCGACAATATGGGGTATGTGTGCATAAATTCCTTACCACTATGTTGTTGCTGAAACTACTGAGTTCGTCTTATGCGCGACGTCAGCACTTGTATGAGTTTGCTTGGGACCTCATGCAAAGGATTTACAACCTAACTTTGTGGTCATTTAAAATTGACAGCTTTGAGTCTGATTAACCATTAGATTTCCCATCTTATTTTCTTTATTTGGCTTTCTGGTAAATTTTTCTTATCAGCATTTATATGATTGCTAACCAATACCTGATTTATTTCTTATACTTTTTTTCAAACTTCTCCTTCTTACTCTTCTATTTTTCTTCTTCTTCTTCTTCTTCTTCTTCTTCTTCTTCTTCTTCTTCTTCTTCTTCTTCTTCTTCTTCTTCTTCTTCTTCTTCTTCTTCTCTTCTTCTTCTTCTTCTTCTTCTTCTTCTTCTTCTTCTTCTTCTTCTTCTTCTTCTTCTTCTTTATCTTTTTCTCCTCCTCCTCCTTCTTCTCCTCATATTTTTCTTAGTCATACACACACACATACATTCACATTCATTCACACACATATATACCGCACATACATACACATACACATAAATATATATATACACACACACAAACGCAGCAAAAACATTTGAGATAAGCTCCGCGATTTTTTGTTAAGGTGATGCATATCACCTTGTTTTATTCCCCGTGTGGGCCCCATTGCGGGGAAAGCAAGATCCACTGCCTCCCCAGCAATCATGTCGTAAGAGTCAACAGACTGGGAGCTTCCTTCGAAGTCAAAGTCCATCTGTCTGAGAAGCAAGGAATCAGCTGTCTGCATTTAAATAAGTCAGGTCTGTAAAACGGATGTGCACGCACAACTCAAGTTCTGGGACAAGACTAAAGTTCAGGTGTGGACGAACAACCAGAACATTCCGTTCACAGCCCATTAACGTGATGAAGAATAATAATAATAAAAATAATAATAATAATAATAATAATAATAATAATAATAATAATAATAATAATAATAATAATAATAATAATAATAATAAGAAGAAGAAGAAGAAGAAGAAGAAGAAGAAGAAGAAGAAGAAGAAGAAGAAGAAGAAGAAGAAGAAGAAGAAGAAGAAGAAGAAGAAGAAGAAGAAGAAGAAGAAGAAGAAGAAGAAGAAGAAGAAGAAGAAGAAGAAGAAGAAGAAGAAGAAGAAGAAGAAGAAGAAGAAGAAGATGAAGAGGAAGAAGAAGAAGAAGAAGAAAAGAAGAGAGAAGAAGAAGAAGAAGAAGAAGAAGAAGAAGAAGAAGAAGAAGAAGAAGAAGAAGAAGAAGAAGATGAAGAAGAAGAAGAAGAAGAAGAAGAAACTATTTTGAATATATTATTATATTTTTTGTCATTAGGCACATTATTATGAATGTTGTTGTTATTATTATTACGCACTTAAACAACTTTGAAATTATTGGAACCCCCACCCTCAGTGTTTTCTTTCTGTCAGCTTTACTGGATGATACGATGAATTCCCATAAATATTATATTTTCAGGTCAGTTCAAGAAATACGCCATCCAATGGCAGATGAGCGCCGGCTGTCTGGTGGCGGGCACCTTGGGCGTGCTGTCTAGCGAACTGAGCGTCTTCACGCTGACAGTTATCACGCTGGAGAGGTTCTATGCCATAACACACGCCATGCAGCTCAGCAAGAGACTGTCTCTCAAACATGCAGGTTGGTGGGTTGTCAGTGTCAGTTTCTGTAGGTCAGGGGCTGTTGGTATCATGTTTCTGTAGGTCAGGGGTTGTTAGTATCATGTTTATGTAGATCAGGGGCTGTTTGTGTTATGTTTCTGTTGGTCAGGGGTTGTTGGTGTCATGTTTCTGTAAGTCAGGGGTTGTTGGTATCATGTTTCTGTAGGTCAGGGGTTGTTGGTGTCATGTTTCTGTAGATCAGGGGCTGTTAGTGTTATGTTTCTGTAGGTCAGGGGCTGTTAGTGTTATGTTTCTGTAGATCAGGGGCTGTTAGTGTCATGTTTCTGTAGATCAGGGGCTGTTAGTGTTATGTTTCTGTAGGTCAGGGGCTGTTAGTGTCATGTTTCTGTAGATCAGGAGCTGTTAGTGTCATGTTTCTGTAGGTCAGGGGCTGTTAGTGTTATGTTTCTGTAGGTCAGGGGCTGTTAGTGTCATGTTTCTGTAGGTCAGGGGCTGTTAGTGTCATGTTTCTGTAGGTCAGGGGCTGTTAGTGTCATGTTTCTGTAGGTCAGGGGCTGTTAGTGTCATGTTTCTGTAGGTCAGGGGCTGTTAGTGTCATGTTTCCGTTAGTAAGGGGCCTATAAGTATTCTTCGTTCCCATGTGGGATGCAATTTTTCTTTATTCTGAAGCCCCCACCCTGGCTGTTGCTGGAGGCCCTAACATAACCTAACGGTTGAACGAGGTTTCAGAGACTTCTCCACGGTTGATCCTCATCCGAATGGTGGCAATTTGTGTCACCGGGTGTTAACTGCTCTGTGTGATGTCCTGGTAGGGTACAACTTACTTACTTGGTCAGTTGGTCAGTCAGTAGCGCTCTTTCTGTGGATAATTTCAAGACACCTGACACAAAGAAAACATTACAGGGGGTGCGGAGAGGGAGTAGGTTAGCCCCTTACAAATTGTCTTGCTACTGGTACCATTAGTATCGGAACTCTTCACTGGCTGTTGATGATGGGGACAGAGCGCTTTTGGGAATGCCCCGAGTGCTGTGATGTCAGTTCTTTAATAACTCAACTCAGTTTCTGAATTACTTTCAAGGGACCTAAGCCTTGTTTAAGTAAAAGGGCCTTTTTCACGCCTTCAGGTAGGACTATTGGGTATATGGTGCTATACCTTTTATCTCTACAGACAATCGGCACTCGGTTGGTCATGTGATCAGCCTCACGCCGGCCGCCTAAACTTCCTGTAAAGGTACCCAGCTTAGGTTGAGTCGACCTGAGAGATATGGTCATTGTGAAAAAATTCAGCTCAATGCAATTTGAACAACCGACCTTTGGACCAAAGGCGAGCGTTAGCCGCTACATTATGGCGGCTCCCTTGTTTAAGCGCATAACAATAATAATAATTATAATATGCTCAATTACAAATAAGCACACTAATATATTTGAATACTATAATATGGACAAACAAAAACTTTAAACAGAGAACTTATACACATTGTTGGGTCGAGGGGCAGCTTAACACCCTTATAATGTTTCTTTGGGAGGGGGAGGGGTTAAGGGGGTGTTCTAACAACCGTTTATTTGCTGAGGGAGCTCAAGGGCCCAAGATTCCTAGATGCCAGCGCCCCTGGGTCGCTCTTTAGTCGTGTAACCCTTTCCATTGCAAGTTTAAAAGTGAAAACAAAGCTAACTAGCTTGTATGACATGCTACATTTTTTTTCCCAAAGCACTGTTTTATTGTTTTATATTACCCGCTATCTCCCATTTCCTAAAGCATTTGTGTGTTACCATATCTCATTTGATACGTATTGCCTGTACTTTATCATATTGCCTTATTTTATATGCTATATTTCCAGTACGTTATTTTATTGTCTTTTATCACCCTCTGTATCTCACTCCCCGTACATTATTTCTTCTTTTTCTTCTTCTTCTTCTTCTTCTTCTTCTTCTTCTTCTTCTTCTTCTTCTTCTTCTTCTTCTTCTTCTTCTTCTTCTTCTTCTTCTTCTTCTTCTTCTTCTTCTTCTTCTTCTTCTTCTTCTTCTTCTTCTTCTTCTTCTTCTTCTTCTTCTTCTTCTTCTTCTTCTTCTTCTTCTTCTTCTCTTCCACCTTGTACCTCATCGAAGTGTCAGGGGGAGATGTAATGTTCGTTGATGAGATCTGTCAAGAGCACTATTAAGACTGATGTTCATTTCTGTAAGGCTGTTCTTAATGCCATCACTCCATCTTTTCCGAGGTCTTCCACTCGCTCTATACCCGTTGTAACGTTTTAGTGTGGCTCGCTGTGGCGGATAGTACCAGGGCATTCTTGTTAGGTGTCCAAACCATTTCATTTGTTGTTCTTTGACGACCTGTTAGACTGGCTTTATTCCTAGCATTCGTCTGATTTCATGATTGTGTATTCTGTCTTTCCTTAAAACTCATGCAGCTCTTCTAAGGCATTTCATCTCTGTTGTCACAATTTTACGTTCAGTGGACAATGTAAGTGTCCACGTTTGGCACTGATTGCATAGTGTTGGCAAAAAAATAGTTCTAATAAGATTCACTTTAGTACTCCGAGTAATCTGCTTGTGTGTCAACAGGGAAGATAGTTGACCCATTACTTGATTAGCTTTGGCACATCTGGAGCTAATTTCTCTGTCTAGTTTTCCGTCTGATGTAAAAATTGCTCCCAAATACTTAAATTCCTCTGTTTGTCTCAGGGTGTCCGTACATTATTGTACTGTCTTATATCACCCTTTTTATCTCATTCCCTGTATGTTATTAAATTGCCTTTTATCACCCGCTATATCTTATTCCCAGTACATTATCTTGTTATCTTCCATTCCCAAGACTTTTATATCACCGTTTCTTCCATAAGATTTATTTCCATACATTGTTATATTACAGTATCTTTCCCGCTTTCTACTACTCCCAGACACACGCTGGTATCATCATGTACTATTATATTGCCATATGTTGTATTCCTGCTTTTTATCACCTGCTATATCCCATTTCATTACATAGTTATATTGTATTATCTCTCCTGTTATCTCTTATTCTCCTGATATTGCTATATATCATAAGATACATATCCCAGTACGTTGTTACATTGCTTTACCTCATCCGCTTTATCGCATTCCTGAGACACTGATATGTTGCCAAATCTCCTGCGATACTGATTCACTTACGTTGTTATATTGTCTTATCTTCCCCCGCTATCTCCCTCTCCTAAGACATTGATTGCTATAAAAGTAACGTTGGTCTCCCCACGCCCTGTCAAATTACATACTAGCTCACTTTTGATTGGTGGTTCCTGAAGCTGTCACCTTGGCACAAGGTTACTGGGGTGTTCCGCAATGCGTTGATAATCGCTTGTTGTATATTTCAGCACACCAGCGCTTTTAACACTCCAACAACATGGAGAAACTGGTCCTAACACAACTCCCCCTAGAGAGTGCTGCAATTTATGTCACAGGCATTCTCTTTCTCGGAAGGAAAACGTATATGCAAGACAACATAGAAAGCAAACACCTCACATTACCCGCTATCTCCCTTTCCAAACATACGCAGGTATCATCATGCTCTGTGGCTGGATCTGGAGCTTTGGCCTGGCAATCTTACCCTTGTTTGGTGTCAGTGACTATAGAAAGTTTGCCGTGTGTCTGCCATTCGAGATTGAAAGCGTCCTCTCGAAAAGTAAGTCTAACCACTGGTCTATATTTTTTTTCCTTCTGCTTTTCACACTTCATTGGAGCAAATAGCATCCATTTTTAAAATTGTTTCTTGTGATTTTTCAGCTAAATTTTAAACCGTTTGGATAGCCATGTTCAGATCAACCTTTCTTATTTGCTTCTTTCGACATTTATTATACGTTACATGTGTATTGTTGCTTATGAGTTATGATTTCGGTTATCTTCACAACACGACCTTAAGTGCTCAGATTCCCTCCTGAACTTACACATTAGTGTTCAGCGGTTAATAGTGCCAGTCCTGTGCTGGCTGACAACAGTTCTCGTGCATACAGTGTATATCTTGTGCCTGACTGCGCCTATCTATACTCACAAGTCTCGCATTCTTAGAAGCCATGTGGGCACAATACTCTTAAATCATCCTATCGTGTTAGCTCTCTAAGGGCATTACCAATGTCTGCATGACCCATATTAGGACTGCCATCTGCAGCTAAGTTAGAGCCCGCCACTCTGGCAGCTCTTTCATTGCCAACAACACCCGCATGCTTTTGCACAAAGTTGATGGTCCGCATGCTCTAGCACAAAGATGAAGGTAGTATCTCCACGCACAGATATCCATTCCTCGCCGGAGAGGATGTTTCTGTTCGCTTTACCAACGATCTGCCAGTTGAAGATTTGACCACCCCCAGATAGATCTTCAGCCCCTCCAGAAAGTTCTAATTAGGGCATGTGTAACGATTACACGGAGTACAGCCTTGCTGATGCAGTATGATAAGCCGTTTACACAGAGGACAACCTTGCTGATGCAGTATGATAAGCCGTTTACACGGAGTACAATTATGCTGGTCCAGTATGATAAGCCGGTTTACACAGAGGACAACCTTGCTGATGCAGTATGATAAGCCGGTTTACACAGAGGACAACCTTGCTGATGCAGTATGATAAGCCGGTTTACACAGAGGACAACCTTGCTGATGCAGTATGATAAGCCGTTTACACGGAGTACAATTATGCTGGTCCAGTATGATAAGCCGGTTTACACAGAGGACAACCTTGCTGATGCAGTATGATAAGCCGGTTTACACAGAGGACAACCTTGCTGATGCAGTATGATAAGCCGGTTTACACAGAGGACAACCTTGCTGATGCAGTATGATAAGCCGTTTACACGGAGTACAATTATGCTGGTCCATTATGATAAGCCGGTTTACACGGAGTACAATTATGCTGGTCCAGTATGATAAGCCGTTTAAACGGAGTACAATTATGCTGGTCCAGTATGATAAGCCGGTTTACACGGAGTACAATTATGCTGGTCTAGTATGATAAGCCGGTTTACACGGAGTACAATTATGCTGGTCCAGTATGATAAGCCGGTTTACACGAAGTACAATTCTGCTGATGCAGTATGATATGCCGGTTTATTCATCCTGGCTGCAACCTAGGGGTTTGACCTACCATCCCATGATGACTGCCTGGATGGCGGGAATAACAAGGCAGGTCCCAGATATCTTCTTTAGCTTTGAAAGAAGTTAAAAATGGGGTTTTTGTAACGGTTACGTCAACCAATTCTAACCTGCCGTCATGAGCGAGTTCAGCCTCACTAGGAATCCTGCGCCTATCTATACTACAAACACCCGTTAACACGAATTGCCAACATTCGGATGAGAATCAAATGGGCACAAGTGCCAGAAACCCAGTTCAACCATTTGGTTATATTAGGTTCCCCCTCTGCAGCGGCATGGTGGGTGTGGGGGTGAGAGTGGGGAGCTCCCCTTCCTGTATCGGGACAGGTCATAGTAACCGTCAGTCATGTGTGGTTAAAGACAATATGTTTCTCCGTCCTTACAGGAATGCAGTTTGAATTTGCGGAATGGATGTTGGACTGCTTTTATCAGCCCCCCCAAAAAAACTCACAAAATATTTTTTTTTTTTTTTCAAATAAAGCGGAATCTTTCCGGCTTCCGCTTTTGTTAATCCTTTCATTGCATTTTTTTCCCCAGTCTGACAGCAGCTGAACCCATTTCATTAAAGAGAACAAAAACAATAATTGCTACACGACAATTGTATCTTTAGTTCAGCCGCTTCTCTTACACCAAGCGACTTTAAAATAAATACTCTAGTGAAGCAATTCTTCTTCTTCTTCTTCTTCTTCTTCTTCTTCTTCTTCTTCTTCTTCTTCTTCTTCTTCTTCTTCTTCTTCTTCTTCTTCTTCTTCTTCTTCTTCTTCTTCTTCTTCTTCTTCTTCTTCTTCTTGACTCCTAATGGAATAAAGACTCTCAACCAACTTACGCTAAGCCCTGAATAGAATTAATATGTCAGTTGGATTTTTCAACTAAATTTGTTGGTTGGAGGAGGGGGGGGGGAGTGAGTAGTCTCGAGGTATGGTGTCTGCCTCGAGTGCTGGAGGTCCTGGGTTCAAGCCCTGGTGAAGGCTGGAATTTTTTTTTTTACGTGGACTTCTAGTAATTTCCCTGGTCTCTGGGTAGTAAGATCAGACGCCCGTGTGTATTCTTAAAAAAATCCTTTTGACAGTTGGAAATCAAAAAGAGTAACCTAACGGCGCTCCTCGGGCAAAACTTTGAGTTGAAAATCTACCCATAGTATTTCAGGATCCACGTCGGTGTAATAGAGTTCGTGCACTGCGCTAAGAATCTTCAGACTTAGGCTTGAGCTAGAAGTAGAACGGAGCAAAAATAGGTTACACTTGTGTGACATGATGTTGATCCGACGAATAAACATAAACCTAATTTGGTACATTATTTAAACTTGATAAGAGACGCCGAAGACAAAACTGGGTCTAAAAAGCCGCACAACAGTCGCAGCAAGGCCAGTGGATCGGCTTCGAGAGCGCCTTGCCACGAATACTCACATGGGGTGAGATCTGGCGAATGCCCCTGCTGCGACAAAGCTTTGTCGTAAGATCTGTGTTCGATATGTTACCGTTTGGCGTCAATATGGTGAAATGGCATGCGACTTCCGATCCGAAATGCACACTTTGCAGAGCTAAGCAGACACTCGAGCACGTTGTCCGCTTGCAGAAAAGACCTAGGCCAGAAAAGATACACTTGGCGCCACAATAAAGTCCTAAAAGAGTTAGCGGACATGGTGGACCAAGCTAGGATGAGGACCAACGCTAAGGTCCGTCCTACCGTGGTCCCCGTGCGATTTCTCAAGGCTGGGGAGATTTTTAAAAGTAGATTCAACAAGGTCGCATACGCTCCGTCGATAATTAACTGTGCGAGGGACTGGTTACTAGTTGTCGACCTGCCTGGTTTCGAGATCTACCTAGAGTTAATCCGGAAGACCGCACTGAGACCTGACATAGTCCTTCACTCTAAGAAAAACGCCAGCATCCTGAATGAGCTGACCGTGCCGTGTGAGTCCCGAACGGACGAAAATCACGTGTATAAGCTCGAGATGTACTGTGAGCTCGCGGCCGATCTGACGAGAGACGACGCGTACGCAGTAAAAATCTTCGGCGTCGAGATAGGTGCAAGAGATATTATCTCCACTTCCATGTACCGTGTGTTAAAGCAGCTAGGCTTTCAGGGAAACGAACGTAAACGGTCACACACAAAAACTGGGCGAAGTTGCTAAAAGAGCTTCGAGCTGTCAGTGGACGCAACGGAAAGTCGTGGGTGATGGGCCTCGGTGGACTAGTCTGAGTCCTTGGATTAAAGGAGCTTCTTATCCCTAAAAAGCTATTGTGTCCGACTGATGTCTGCCTAGTGTACCTCTGCCAATTGCAAAAGTCTAATATGTGTCCGGTGAACCAACCGTAAGCTTGTCACTTGGTCGTTAAGGTAAACGGCTGGTCTAATTGGCTACCGCAGCGACAATATCTATATTAAACTTCCAATTTCACAGTACACGTTCCGTAGTCACCATTTCGTTTTGTCCCTCTCCGAGAACATCCGGTAAAGTGCAGCAGGAGAAGATCAAAGCCTGGGAAGTCATGACCCAGGTCGGCCCACCATCTGAAATTGTCTAGGAGGTTATGGGCCGAAACAATTGTAGACAAGGAATCGTCTACTGGTGATTGGTGACTCCTGTTGTACAGGCTCCCCTATGGCCTTCTTCTTATAATTGGCCCAACGTGGGACGCAATTATTTATTTTTTAATTATTATTTAAATGCCCCACCCTGGCTGTCGACGGGAACCCTATAACAACCTATGTGTTGAACAGGAAATTTGCGACTTGTATCCAGAGGGTTATTATCCGAATTGGGGCACTCTGCGTACTCGGGTGTTTATCGCTCGTCGCGCGGTTCTGGTGGGAGTTCAAAGATCGGTCAGTCACCTGCTAAGGACCGAGGGTCACATCTGGCCGGAATGGCTGTCACAGGTTTCCAAATTACAACTTCTTTGGAGACTTAAATGTTTATCTGTGGTCTGCGATCTAGACTGAAATTCCTTAATAACAGCATGGTATAGTAAACTCTAAAGTAGAAGCCTAGACGAGACAAGCCGATCTATCATCTGTTGAACTCTTGTTTCGTAACCAATGGGTGCCGCAGTATAACTCTGTCATAGGTTGAACAGGGTTTTTGGAATCTGCAGCTGCTGTATTTCCATCCTAATAGTAGTTATTTTGGACAGCCGTGTGGTAATTGCTCAGGGTGCAAATACTTCCCTGTCACCTTTCCAGATGATAGTGTTAAATTGTGCTATTAGAAAGTATGGGACTCACAACCCGTGGTGGTGGCGAGTTTGACCAACAAGACCTACCCACGTTAAGAAAAGTCATCCACAGTTAAAGCATGGGATTTCAGGACCATTGTTTTTTAATTCACCATAGATGATGTGGTATATAGTGAATTGTAAATAAGTAGAAGATGCCCCAGATATAGTCAGTAAGTTAAAAGTAAAGTAAATAACCCTTGTCCACGCCTTTAGATGTATAGGGCATATAGGGCTAGACCTATATTTTATAGACCAACGGCACAAGATG